GCATGTTTATATCAGACCCACAATATATGCTTTGTTTACCCACCGCGTTTCATCCCTCTAGGTCGATTTTTAATTGGCAGATTATCTTGCCTTAAAAACGACCCTATGCAATTGGATAAGACGTCGCAAAATTCTATGACGTCAGCAAATGCGGCCTTTGCCTTGTCCAAATTTATTCAAAAAAACAGAGCCCAAAGCGTTTGCAGCGAAGAAGTAAGGCTAAAAATAGCGAAGCTTGATGTAAATTAAGCTGTAGGACTCTTTGGCCTGGAAATTGAGCAAAGAGGCGAAATAAAACCTATAAAATAAAGATCTTTGTATGTAGCCGAGATACCCACGTCAGCGGACAACACAAATTTGAGAAGCGCAAGATAAAAAGTGCCCTTTTAAAAATCAACGCATATGTGCAGAGTAGCAAAAGCACGGTTTGAAGATGAGATCCATCGTTTGCAAATAACATCAATGGCAAAAGGATTAGCTTCACATTTAATGCAAAAAGCAGTTCACAGGCCCGCCTACCGCAATTTCTTGGTCTTGAATAGGAGAAACGCATAGCAAACCAATCCGTTGTTTGACTAGGCAATAGTCGGGACTTTCTATATGCAGTAACAGATGCGTGGAGTGAAGTGTGTAGGTAAAGGCAGAACATACAGTAATAAAAAACTGTCAAAACTTACTGGCAAAATCTACGAGACCATTTTTCATGTCTGACAGAGCCTTGGTAAGAGTTGTGTTTATAGATTCGGGCGTTTCAGGAGGAGCAATACAGCGCAGATTTTCCGAAGAAATCTTGTCCGAGCAGAATGGAAAGTGGTAGAGACCGACACGTATACCCTTTTTGTGCACCAAAAATACGAGAATGAGTAAGATGCATATGGCAGGTTAGGGACTACTTTTACCTGCATTATTAACATAACACAACAGAGTATGTTAGAAAGGAATAAACGGCCGTTTAAGTTTCTTTGGCACCCGGCTAGTTACATTTTTTTTCAGAGAAAAGAAACAAAGAATAGAGCGGTAAACAAAAATCTAAATGATATGCCTTGTGACTGTAAGGCCCCTAACTAACAAGTTAATGGATAGAACACAATAAATGTGGCAGAGATTGACAGCTACCAACCAACGCATTAAGAACAGCAGTTGAAAAGTTGATTTATGGACGTTGCGTCCTTCTCTTGGCTTAAAAATGGCACGGGATTGTGTCGATTGCCACATAGTACTGAGTAGGATTGTCCCTCTTAGGCAAAGATTTTTGTTTAGCGAAGGAGAATGGAAAAAAGTTGACCCACATTTTTGGCGATAACGTTACGCAAAGGAAATTAAAGGTTTGAACAAAAAGCTATCTTTCGGGAAGAATTTCGTTGAACCTAGGTTCTGATCGAACTGACAAATGCCACTAAAAACTATTTGGAAAAAAGGTAACAAATAACAATTCAACTACCTGGCGAGCAGCGGAATTCCAAAGCAGGTCAGGGTGTGTGTAGTTCGGGTTGAACTCCTTAGTGAAGAAATCGGGGTGCGGACGCATATGGCCTAAAACAGAAACGAATTTTACTTTATAAGAAAATGTGGAAAAAATTCCCACAGAAAGATGGATCGCACAATTTTTAAGAGTTAAGTGGTGTTGGTGAACAAATTCAAGGTATACTTGTCAACCAAGGTCTATGGAACAATTTAAGTGTACGGTCTTGCAGCGTTAATTTCCGTAAGTAAAACTTTTAAATCCTTTGACTCACTTCCTGTTTCAGTTGATGGCTGCCTCCAATTTTTGATTAGCCCAATAGGCTTAAAGAAGCAAAACTGCTAGAAAGTGGTTCAACGCTAATTAGGAGACGGGCAGATTAAAATGGGAAATTCTTGAATTAGGATACTAAAGGACTATATTCATCTTGAACCGTTTAAATTTTTTCATTAGATAGGGGCCAGTTCTGCAGCACGTGTTAATAAGAGAGGTGCTCTGACGTTAAGAGAAAGTGGAACGGTTTTGGTCCTTATGAAAAGGTAGTACTAGATATATCAGAATTTGTAGATGCAAAATCGAGACTATCAAAAATATGTACGTTCTAACAGTTTACTGAGCCGAAATATATTTTGCTTACCGGCAAAAAGAGCATGCATGTTCGTATGGCAGTCAGAAGGGAAGACTGGCCTTATGTGTCGGACTCTGAAACTCTCTGTGTTAAGCCGACCCAAACCGGGTAGGTCTGTGTCGTTAAAGTAATCCCAGCGGAGACCATCCAGAAAGAGTGTAAGAAGTCTGTTATACGGCGGTGAAGTATGTGGTGAAAGTGCGAAATTTTTCACGGAAAATAGAAGTACGAAAAGGAGACAAAATCGCATCGTCTGATATATGGTTCAGCTGAAACGTGAATATTCACATGATGTTAAGTAATGGAAATGCAAAAATATATCCAAAAACAAGAAGTGGGTTCAGAATATATATTCAAAGGTACAGTTTAATCAATTCATCACTAACAGCGGACGGTGTGAGGATTCCTAAGTCTGTTACAAGTGCAGTAATATAAAGTGGATTTGTGTAATCAATTAAGGGTATGTCCTTGTCTATTACAGACACTTTCTGCTTCTCGACCTTGAGCCATACGTCATCCATTTCCTCGAAGACATAATCTTCATTTTCACTGGGCTTCGCGTCGTCGGGTATAGTTTTTGAACGTATTTCCTTGAGTCTTGAAGCACTCCACTTCAATTCGTCGGCGATATGCCTCTGGTCAAGTGGATAAACTCGCAAAAACTTAAAGGACTCAACCATAACATACACCGGCTTCCCAAGACTGTGTGCGATCATACACATAGTGCACGAGCCTAGCGCATTCAGACAGCCACCGCTCTCGACGACAGCTTCGGCCCCTACAACGACGGCATCAATCTGTGGCATTAAATAGGCGACAGCAGTGTCCGGGACGAGCGTGCAAGAGACGCCTGATTTCATTAGTTCGCCAACCATGCGCACACCGGAGGAACTTGGCATGCATTCAGTCACGTAGCAGTGAAGTTGTCGACGATTCATGGAAGACTTAACAAAATGGACAAGTGCTTCCACCACAACTCGAGAGTACGAGTTGATCAGGAGTCGGGCGTTGTCCGGGAAAAGAAGGAGGGCATTTGCAGAGATCTGCTGGCGGCACCGCGAAATCTAGGATTAGAAATGAATAGAGTCACGACGAGACACAGGTGCAAAAATAGTTGGATGGGAGTTCATCGCCACTTACTTTTCTCAGAAAAACATCGGCACGTTCAAGAATGACCCTCTTGCATCCTTCAAAATCACCGCCAGTATCCAAAACTGCTAAGGTAATAAACCTTTGGAAGAGTTCACACGCCGATTTGACGGATGAGTTGCTATTGTCTGTTGCTCTCATCTGTTTGACTGCATCGTTAATAAGGTCGTCCAATCCCTGGACGGTGAGTACATCACTGCGTTTAATGAGATTTATGAGTAGTTCAATGGCGACGATCGCCTCCGATTTGCTGCTGTCTATTTTACAAGCACTAACGAACTTCTTCCCTATATCCATGTGCTAGGTGGTCAAAGAACCCAATCGGATTACTGCTTGCCCCACACAGCCACCTGACCAAAGACATGATGGATAACAGCACGGTAAAACCGAAAGTAAACAGAGATATAAAAAGGGTACACGTTTTTATGGATCAATTGTTTTCTAGGACTAACTTTGAACAAGGCAAAAACTATACAATGTTTG